TTGGTTTGTTTGGGGTGTTATTTTCCCTTTTTTTTTTTTTAATGTTACTTGTATGTTTTTCCATCTATCAGTATGGACCTGAGGCAGTACAGATTCTACTCTGTGGACTTAAATTGTCCCTAAAAGCATCCAGTACCTTGCCTTTAAGTGTGAGAGCAATATCAACAGCATCCAGTGTAAACAATATATAGCCTTAATGATAATAATCATAATCATAATCACACAAAGGCATCTTCTGCTTTCTCACAATAAACTAAAATGATGAATTCAATAACTATGTACAGGATAAACAGAAAATTTGCTAAAATGATTTAAAAACTTCAAATGGTGGATGAGAGAACAGATGTAGCATAATACACAATATTCACGAGGGAGGAAGAGAGAAACTAGAAGCAAAAACTCATAGGAAGAGAGGAGAATAAGCCAAAAGAGATTGGCTATTGGTTGGAGAAAATGTTGAAAGGAAATCCATGAAAACAGACAAGTGAGAGGAAGATACAAAGTAAAATAATAAAAAATATAAGAATACAACACTGAAAAACACCATTCATATATCACCATTCTCCACACACTGATGCTTAAAAACCACCCTAATATAGTAGAGATGTTAGAGAATAAAAAAATAAAATAAAATAAATGTCGATGGAAAATCAAACTGTCTTCACCAGCGTTCAAAAGTTTCTCAGCCCAAACTCTAAAATCTCATGGAACCACCAGGCCATTCAGACCCAATAACTATTCCAAGAGACTAACCCACATAATTATAATTATTTCATATTAGACAAAGACACCAAAAAAACATACATTGGAGAAAAAATCGCCTCTTCAACCAATGGTGCTGGAAGAACTGGAAATCCATATGCAAAGAAATGATATTACACCCCTATCTCTCACTATGCCCAAAATTTAACTCAAAGTGGATCAAGAACCTAGGAATTAAAGAGAGGCCCTGCATCTAATAGAAGAAAAAGTAGGCCCCAATCTCCATATTGGATTAGGCCTCTACTTCTTAATAAGACTCCAATAGCACAAGAATTAAAATCAAGAATTAATAAATGGTATGGATTCAAACTAAAGCTTTTTTTCAGCAAAAGAAACAGTGAGGTGAATAGAGAGCCTACAGATTGGGAGCAAATTTTTTCCACTTGCACTTCAGACAGAGCACTAATATCTAGGGTACATAAAGAACTCAAAAAGCTAAACACCAAAATAACAAATAGCCCAATTATTAAGTGGGTCAAGGAACTGAACAGACACTTCTTATAAGGTGATATACAATCAATCAGTAAATATATAAAATTTTCAACATCTCTAGTTATTAGAGAAATGCAAATAAAAACTACTCTAAGATTTCATCTCACTTCAATCAGAATGGAAGCTATTAAGAATACAAACAACAATAAGTTTTGGAGAGGATGTGGGGAGAAACTGGTGGGACTGCAAACTGGTCCAGCCAATATGGAAAGCAGTATGGAGATTCCTTGGAAATCTGAGAATGGAACCACCATTTGGCCCAGCTATACCACTCCTTGGCCTATACCCAAAGGACTTAAAAACAACATACTACAGGGACACAGCCACACCAATGTTTATTGCAGCACAATTCACAATAGCCAAACTGTGAAATCAACCTAAATGCCCATCAGTAGATGAATGGATAAAGAAAATGTGGTATTTATACACAATGGAATATTATTCAGAAATTAAAGAGAATAAAATCATGATATTTTCAGGTAAATGAATGGAGTTGGAGAATATAATGCTAAGTGAAGTTAGCCAATCCCCAAAAATCCAAATGCTGAATATTCTCTCTGATATAAGGAGGCTGATTAATAGTGTGGTTGGGAGGGGAATCATGTGAAGATTAGATAAACTCTAGATAGGGCAACAGGGAGGGAGGAGAAGGGAGAGTGCAAGGGGTATAAAAAAGATGATGGAATGAGATGGATATCATTTCCATAACTACATTTATGAAGACATGAATGGTGGAAATATACTTTGTATACAACCAGAGATATGAAAAAAGTGCTCTATATGTGTAATATGAATTGTAATGCATTCTGCTGTTATATACAACAAATTAGAATTTTTTTAAAAAATTAAAAAGGCAGTGTTAAGTAGCTATAAAATCTTTGATATTAAAATTGAAATCCAGTACTTGAACTTTAAGATTTGTAGAGCTGGCTTGTTAGATGTTTAAAACTAAAACTTGAAGACTAAAGCTAGGAAAATAAAAGGGCCAAGAAAGAAAATAGCCAATATTTGGCTCTTTCTCTCTGAGATTAGCTGAAATCCATGGAACAAGAGGATCTCTCTAAGGGCTGTGCAAGTCTGGGCCACATGACTTTCCAAACAGGGGGATCAATGGGACATGGAGAACAAGAAGCCAACCAGTGCCCATGCTATAAAGATGAGCATTATCGGAGAAGAAAATGTTGTTGGTACTTCCAAGAGAAGCCATATGTCATCAGGAAGACCATGACATATCCTGGCATATGACACTTGAGAAGCTAAGAGGCTGTTCCAAAGTTACCAAGAGTGACACTTTGATGAATGTCAACTGATTTTAATAGTATATAAGAACATGCTCAATTTGACCAACTTGGTCTTAAACATGCAGGAGAATTATAATCAAAACACAGCAATATATGGACATTTTAAAAGGAAAGACATTAGTTCTTTTAATGTAACTTGAGATGTACGTTTGTGTCAGCCACACAAAAAGTAGGTAAAACTGGAGGGTATAAAGAAGGGTTCTTAGGCAGGAGTGCCTGATAACTATCAAAAGATTATCATAGTCAGAGGTTTTTTGTTGTTATTCTTGTTTTGTTTTTTGTTGAGTCAATTTAAGACCTACAAATATTCATAATTTCCTCTATAGGCAGACTGAGTCTGTGTTTGCTATAATGATTGTGTAAACTTAAGTGACAGAAATAAAGGGGTCCCTGCTTAAAACAGAGGTAATGCCAATAGAAAGGTATTTTGCAAAAATCACATGGCATTAGTAGCTTAACTAAATCTTATGGGGACATCTGTGGCATTATAAAAACTAAATGTTGTGTATATGATTCTAACAACTCTGCTAATGTTTCTAAATCTTTAACTGGCCTGCACTCACTCATCAGTGACATATGGATCCCATCTATATGGGATCTATATGTTAATAATCCATAGAGCGTTAATGAGTTACCATCTTCATGATTTTCAGAGAGGAGCCAATAATACTCATTGTTTCATGCTAATTGTTTCTAAAAAGTATGATTTGCTGTCTTATTGATTATTTTATTATCAAACTCCTGCTTTGTGTACTCCTCATTCAGTCACACATGCAATAGTCCTGTGGACATTTGGACTATCCTGATGCTAAGAACCCTTAACTCTACATGCCACTCCTGATGGAGAATAAGAACTTTGGGTTTCCTTCCTTTAGATGTCATGTCTTTTCAGCAGGAAGTAGTCAGAATGAGTCAACATCCAAATACCATAAAGAATTTAGGGACCCAAAATCCTTGAGGGGGGATGGAAGGGGACAGATAAGTGTGGATTGTGGGAACAAGTGGTTAAAGGAGCACAATGTACAGAATTCCTACATGTTTTCTTTTGCTGAAAAGCAGCCCCACCTGGCCTGAGGGGACAGGATATGTCACATTCATCAACAAAATGAGGCAGGGGGTGAAGGTTTAGTAGTCAGTATAGATGAGGAATAATGGGAGTTGAGAGAGGGTGGTGACTCATTATCACTGGTTATCAAACAGAGAGGACAATGGGTTGCAAATAGCTAACCTCTGGGATTACACTTCCCAGTTCTATGGGTTGCTAAAGATTACCCCTCTGCACTTGCTCCTTCCTGCTCTTAGGCTGGGGTGCAGAGAAAAAAGTGAAGGTGGGGCGGGGTGCAGTGGCACACACCTGTAATACCAGCAGCTTGCCTGGCCTGCTTGGAAGGGTGAGGCAAGAGGATCGTGAGTTCAAAGCCAGCCTCAGCAAAAGTGAGGTGGTAAGCAACCCAGTGAGACTCTGACTCTAAATAAAATACAATCTGGAGCTGGGCAGCATGTGGCTCAGTGGTTGAGTGCCCTGAGTTCAATCCCTGATACCACCCACCAAAAAAAGAGAAGGTTGGGGTTCTGATGTCTATTAAAGAGCAAGTCATGTCCACTACTATGGACACCCAGCTTTGGGACCCCTTCTGTTTGGAGAAGTCTATTGCTATCTCTTTTCTCAAATAAAATGTGCTTTTTACACTTGTCATGGAATTTATCAAGTGTTCAGTCTTCAAAACCAGTGGAACCTGTTCTCATATCCAAGACTGGTGTCACTATTATTTCCTGAATAGACATAATCTCATTACTCTTTATGTTCCTCAGTAATCCTTAATATTGTTCTATACACTTAGTAAAAATTAGAGGTTATATTTTGTATATTCCAAATAGTTAAAGCTATTTATTTTTTTTATTTTTTATTTATTTTTATGTGGTGCTGAGAATCAAACCAAGGGCTCCACATGGGGAACACACACACTCTACCTCTGAGCCACAACCCCGATCCTAAAACCATTTATTTTAGATCACTATTTCAGAAATGCTTGCTGAGACACTTAATTAAGAAGGCCAGGTACATAAACTATTGATAATTACAAAGAATAATGATCATATAAATTTATTTCCTGATTTAATGTAAATGAATTTTGCCTGAAAATACTCATGTCTCAAACATATAAAATATGAATAATATTTTACATTTTGAGAACTTTGAAGAACTTTTTCAAATATTGGGAGGTTCTACAGGTTACCCAGAGTAGATGGATTCTGGGGTTTCCCAGTGGGGAGCTGTCTTCAATGTGTCTGATGCTGAGAATCCAATCCTGTCCTTGGCACCCTTCTTCTACATAATCAAGTGCAAGCAAACAATCTCATGCCTTCTGGACATCCATTGTTACAGAACTGCTTCCTTACTAAATCTGCACAAACTATAAATGTTTGCTAAAGAATAATTATCTTTCAGAAACTTCTATTTCCAAGGAGTTTACTTAGGGCCACTTTGGCATCCTTATTCCTCAGGCTGTAGATCAGAGGGTTTAGCATAGGCACAATAATAGTGTAAAACACAGAAGACACTTTCCCTTGGTCCATGGAGCTGACTGATGATGGCTGCAGGTACATGAATGCTAGAGAACCAAAGAAGAGACCAACAGCTGAGATGTGGGAGCTGCAGGTGCTGAAGGCTTTGGCTCTGCCCTCAGTGGAGCGAATGCGCAGGATGCTGGCTATGATGAAGATGTAGGAGCTAAGAATTGTCATGGTTGGTAAAAAGATGTTAAATGCACTTGATGACAGACCTAATACCTCATTTATAAATGTACTGGAGCAAGAGAGCTCTAGTAGAGGAAAAAAATCACAGAAGTAATGATTTATTATATCATCCTTACAGAAAAGCACTCTTAGCATGTAGGTTGTGTGAACTATGGAACCAATCAAGCTCATGCTATATACCCCAAATACCAACCATAAACAGACTTGATTAGACATAGTAACATTGTACAGTAAGGGGTTACAGATGGCAACATAGCGGTCATACGCCATTACAGCCAACATGTGACACTCTGCAATTGCAAAACCAATGAAAAAGTAGAATTGAGTCATGCATTCAGGGTAGGAGATGATGTTTTTCTCCATCACAAAGTTGACCAGCATTTTGGGGACAATCACAGTGGATTGACAGAAATCAATGAAGGAGAGATTGCTGAGGAGATAGTACATGGGGGTGTGCAGGTGAGAGCTCAGCCTAATCAGTGTGATCATCCCCAGGTTCCCCACCACTGTGAACACATAGATTCCTAGGAAGAGAAGGAAGAGGGGCAGCTGGAGCTCTGGCTTGTCTGTTAATCCAGAGAGGATGAACTCAGTCACTGTGGAATAATTTCCTTCTGCCATTTTCTTCTGAGAATTCTAAATAGGAAGAGAAAAAAATTAAATAGTTATTTATTTTCTGATCACACAATGATTTGTATAAGAGAAACTTTAATTGTCTTTTTAGCCAGGTATTTTTTTTTCAGTCCTGAATTGTCAGTAGTCAATGATGTTGGTATCACAGGAATATGTGACATGTCAATAAATATCATACTTAACTATACCTATGTGTGTTACATGCCTTAAAATATGTTATTAGTAGGACCCAGTCTCTGAACACACAAGGAATTGTTTTGGTAAATTTGAGTTTTCTGAGTGTTTTCCATTATTTCTGTAATCCTCTCCAGTCCTCTGCAGAGCAAATTCTTAATTTTTATGTGAAAAATAACAATAACACATGTAATGATGAAAAACTGAAAGGCTTTCTTCCTAATGAACAATGCAAGATATCCACTCCCTGCACTTTTATTCAACAGCATACTACAGGTCAGGCTAGGGCGATCATAAAAAATGTATAATAAATTAATATTGGAAAACAAGAAGTAACACTATCTTTCTTATAAATAGCATAATCTTATGTATAGAAAATTTCACAAGGAATCTACCAAAATAACAGCTGGAACTAAATAAAAGTGAAGGAAGGTGGTAGAATAGCCTATCAGCCAAATAACTCAGCACTGAGCAATCAAAAATCCTTTTGAAATAGCATGAACAATAAAATAAAATAAATAAGAATAAACAAAAAATTAAATGCAATACATTTAACTTAAAATAAAAAAATAATTTTGAATTTAAAAAGATCTCCATAAATGGAAAGACATCCAATTTCTTTAATCAAGTGACTCCACCTGTGTAAACATTAGTACTACCCAGATGGATCTGGAATTCAGTGTCATTTCTTTCCAACTCCCAGCCCTGTTTTTTGTGGGCATTGATAGGCTGTTGTAGTCAGCTTTGTTACTACTGTGATTAAAAGACCTGATAAGAACAATTTCAGAGAAGGAAAAGTATCTGGGGGCTCACAGCTCTAGAGGTCACAGTCCATAGACAGCCAGCTCCATTCCTCAAGGCTTGAGGTGAGGCTGAACATCATAATTCAAGAATGCAATGGAGAGAAGCAGCTCAAGACATGAAGATCCAGAAGCAGAGAGACTGCACTCACAAATACAAAATATATACACAAAGGCACACCCCCAAAACACACCTCCGCTAGGCACACCCTACCTGTATTCACTTGCCATTCAGGGGATTAATTCACTTAATGGGTTAAGGCTCCCATAACCCAATCATTTCACTTCCAAATGTTATTGCATTATCTCACACATGAGCTTTCAGAGACACCTACTATCTAAACCATAATCCAGGCTGATAATAAAATCCTTACAAAAATGCAAGGATTCAGAGTATCAAAAAAATTTGAAAGAGAAGAACAAAGTTGGAGGGCTCTCATTTTGCTATTTGAAACTTTATTACAAAGTTAGATGGTGTGATTTGTGTCTCAAGTATAGACATGCAGATCCAAGGGATAAGAGTGACAATCCAGAAATTAAAACACATCTCTGGTAAATTGAGTTGCTATAGGTATTTCATGGCAATTCAGTGGGGAAAATATTCTTTTATATTCTTTTGAGCAAATGGTGCTAGAACAATAACTATGAGCAAAAGATGTAATTTGGGCTTGGGAATGCAGCTCCTTTGTAAAACACAGGACCAGCACCATAAAGCCCTGGGTTCAATCATCAGTATTGCAAAAAATAAATAAATAAAATAAAAATTAATTTGGACTTATTTTTTTAAACCACACTATCCACAATAAATGAACTACAAAATGCTCCTAGAACTAAAAGGAATAACATAAGAATAATTTTTTAGAAAGACTGAATCCTTGTGACTTAAGTTTTAATAATGGTTTCTCAGAGAAAATACCAGAGACCACCATAAAAAATAGTATGTTGGACACCATAAAAATGTAAAAAAGAAAAATGTCTTTCAAATAACACTATTCACCTAATCCACCTAGCTTATACTTCAGGTATATGTAATACAGCAAAATGTACCCTACTGTCATGTATAACTAAAAGGAGAAAATAAAGACATTATAGTCCAAAAACATATTTTCTAAAAGCAAAACAAAGAAACCATTCATAAAATAATATATTTAATTTCATAGATGAAAAAGAGAAATAAATTTGATCTTCATATAAATTTTCAGTTATGTCCTCATTAAAAATCACGTTACTTTCCTTGAAAAAAATACCCATAGTAATTCTATAATAACACACTATATTGGAAAGTAGTTTCAATTAATAGTAGTTTTGCTGGATATTAGTAATAGCAGGGAAATACTTGTGGTCAGTATACATCTATGTATAATATTCCAAAGTGCAAAAATGCATCCTACTGTCATGTGTAACTAATTAAAACAAATTTTAAAAAATTTTAAAAAGAACTCTAACAATTTAACAATGAAAAGGACAAATGGCCCAGTTGGAAATATATCAGAGGATTCCAGTAAACATTCTTCTCTTTGAAGTATACAAATGACCAATAAGCCCCTTAAAATATGTTAGTCATCATTCATAATTTATTAAGGATATTCAAATCATAACCATAGTGAGAAAACATTTCACATCCATCAGAAAGTCTATAACCAACAGGACAGATAAATATAAGGGTTGACAAGAATGTGACAGCATTGGAACCCTCATCAATTGCTGCTGGGACTGTACAATATACAAAGTTTTAGGCAAACAGTTTATCAGTTCTTTAAATTATGAAGCATAGGATTACCACATAGCCCAGCAATTTCAGCACTGGGTGCATATGAGAATTAAAAAAAACACTTACACACAAAAATTTGCATGTGTATGACCAGAGTAATTGTACTTTTAAGAGCCAAAAGATTAGAAGCATCTACATGTCCATCCAGTGAAGAATGAACAAGCAGAATGTAGCATGCCCATATGATAAGAGTATTATTCTGCAATAAAAAGGAATGAAGAACTAAGATATGTCAAATCATGAATGAACCTGAAACATACTAAATGAAAGAAACCAGACACCATACATTGTATTATTCTATTTATAGGATGGGTCCACAACAGAGAAATACATACAGAAAGCAAGCTTAGAGTCTGGTGGAGACTGTGGAAAAGGGAGTTATTAGGGTGGGACTGCTCATGGGTATAGGGCTTTATTTTGGATGGTGATGAAAACATTCTACATTAGAACACAGTGATGGTTGTAGACTTCATAAACATGCTAAAAAATTGAAATGCATACATAGAAAGATAAATTATACAGTGTTACTTATATTAAATAAATTTATTATTAAATTAAAACAAGAAAATAATAATGAAATCATTTACCCTGGTGCTTAGGCCTGTGATCCCAGCATCTTGGGTGGCTAAGGCAGGAGGATGGCAAATCCAAAGTCAGCCTCAGCAACTTAGCAAGGTCTTAAGCAAGACCCTGTCTCTAAATAAAAAAATTAAAAATGGGCTGGGAATGTGACTCAGTGGTTAAACACCCCAAGGTTCTGTCCCTGGTAACACATTATCATCATCATTATCATCATCATCATCATCATCATCATCATTCTTGACACCAAACATTCCATCATAACATTCTGTTGAATGTCACCCTATAAGTCTCCTCATCTAGTTTAGGCCTGGTATATTCTGTACTTGTGTAAAATCTGTTCATTGTCCTTTTCTCCAAAAAAATAAAGTAAATTTTTTCCACATATGAAAAAATGTGCTGGTTAGCCTGAAAACCTGTAACAATCTTTTGTTATCATGGGAAATTTTCTCTTCAATACATCATCAAGGAAAACATAGGCATTTTAAACTTCTATTAAAAAGTGATAGACATAATGCAGACACATACTCAATTTAAAATATTCCTTCTATGTCTTCATCAGAGAAAAATATCATCAAATAGTAAAATAAATAAAAATAATTAAAGAAGAATGAATCACAGCACCTAGAAAGATAGTCAGAAAATCTCTAACAGATTTAAGTAGTTACCTAGCAATTTGCTTCTTGACACCTGCTTTCTTCTGACTCTCCACGGGCCACTTCTTGCAGAGGACAACTATCCCTAATTCTGGGCCAATTCTATACTTTTACTAGAAAAGCTGAAGTATGTTTCAAGTAGAATTGTTAACTAATGATCAAGCCCAAATGTTACTGATATTGTAAACCCAGACCTGGGAGATTCCTACTTACCTCTTATAAAAGCTGTTATTTATTTCAGCACATCTCTCTACTTTACCTCTATTCCTGAAGCTGAACTTCCATAGTGCTATGGTTTGAATGTGTCCTTCAGAGTTCATACATTGCAAACTTGATCCCCAGTGCAACAGTATTGAGAGCTAGGACCTTAAGAAGAGATTAAGTCATGAGGTGACTGGATTAGTGGTGTTCTGAGAATGGGCTAATAATCAGAGGTGTGGGTTCCTAATATAAGAATTAGTTTGTTCCCTTTCCTCTATTTCATGTATGTCCTCTTTTGTCCTTTATCATTCTACCATAGGCTGCAGCAAGAAGACCCTTGTCAGAAGCACCCTTTGACCTTAAACTTCCACCCTCTAGAATAGTAAGACAGATAAATTTCCGTTCATTATACATAATCCAGTGAGTGGTACTTTGCTACAGAAACACAAAACAAACAAAGAAACATATTCTCCCATAGTTCCTACTCTTTACAATTTTCTAGCTGATGACTTTTTCTATGTTCTTGGCCTCTCACAAGGCTGTCCCACGAAATACCAATCCCCATCACAGAAGCTCCATTTTTTCTTGCTCAGTCATTGCAACTCTGACAAAATATGTGGGACTTTGACCCATTCCATGTGACCAGCTCCCTCTGAAGTCTGACTCTGACACATGCTCTTCATTACTACTGCTTCCTGTTCTGATTTGCTAACAGTACCTCTGTGCTTCAATGTCTTAAAACTTCCTGGAGATTTTCTATCAACCTACCCTGCATGAGTAATCTTAGCCTCCATTTATATGGTACATCTTCAAGGTGAATGAATCATAAGCCAAATACCAAAACAGTCTAAGGGGATAAAAAGTTTGATTTGTTCGCTTGATTAACATTTTCATTAAGATAAAATTGATATGCAAAACTGTACATGTTTATTATATACAATTTGTTTAGTTTAGTCCTAGGCAAACACTAGTGACACCACTACCTCAATCAAGGTATTGACATACTTATCTCCTCCAAATATTTACTTGTTTCCCTTTGTTCTTTTTATTTGTTGTTATTGTTGTTTGTGGCAATATTGAGTATGAGATCTCCTCTCAATTTTGAAGTACAATACCATATTGTTTACCTCAGGCATCATACTGAACTGAACATTTTCAGGACTTGTACATCTAACATGATTAGTAACTATTGAACAACTACTCCCTGTTTCTCCCACCTCCCAATCCCTGGTTATCATTATCATATTCTCTGTTTCCATGAGTTTTACTGTTATAAATACCTTAAAGGAGATCATGGAGTGTTTGTTCTTTTGTGATTGGCTTATTTTATTTAGGGTAGTGTCATCCATGTTCATCCAAGTTGTATAACATGGCAAGTTTCTATTGGGGGAAAATTGTTTTAGTTCTTATAAAAGGAAACGGTGTGACTCAGAACTATCATAAGATTGATAAAGTATTCCAAAAATTTGCATTTAATTAGATTCTTACTGCATTATTAAAGTAAAATAGTTGGATACTCCTGCGTTATCCTGAATTTAGTAAAGTATTAGACTTTACTACAAATATCTTGTAGTCTTATGGACATTGAACTGTTCTGTGGTGTAGGTGAAAATAGAGAATAATACTTCATAGGTATGTGAAATCAGGAAATATATTTGACTAAACATAAGTCAGAAATTTTGAATTATTTTTTCCATAGACTTTAGTTTTGTCTTCAGAAAGCATTCTACCAAAATCTTGGATGATGCCATCAATAAGTTATTATGACATCATAGATAATAATAATGAAGATTTATATTGGGGATAATGCTTCAAGAAGTTATTGTTAAGGGGTAAAAGTAGACTTATATTAAATGAAGATAATCCTGACACTGTGGAGCACCCCTGTATTCCCAGCAGCTTGGGAGGCTGAGGCAGGAGGATTGCAAGTTCAAAGCTAGCCTCAGCAACAGTGAGGTATCAGGCAACCCTGTGAGACCTTGTTAGTAAATAAAATACAAAATAAGGCTGGGGATGTGGCTCAGTGGTTGAATGCCCTTTAGTTCAATTCCCAGTACCAAAAAAAAATGATTAACAATGATAAGCAAAAAGTTGACTATGGGTGTTCAGGATAGATAGATGAATAAAGAATATCCCCTGTTCAGAATGGTAGAGCCTAGAAGGGGACAGGGAGGATGATTAGCTACTGTGGTAAACACCTTGATAGGGCAAGTGCTACTGGACATGCTAACATGGTTCTAGACCATTATGGGTGTCTATGAAGGCTTCTGTATTAAAACAAACAAAAGTTTTCCTCTTCTATTTCCCAAAATATATCACATGACGGGCCTATTACATGAAAGGAACTATGTTTGCCCTAAGATTTAATGCAGAATTTCCTTTTGTTTCTCTTTTCTTCTATCACATTATTTTGTGTAATCCTATTTAATAGTTAAAGCCCTTTCTATAATAGTGACATCACAGTTAATAAGACCAAATTCTGTGTGTCCATGAGTGTGTTACTTTTGCCTTGAGGCAGCATGTACTAGTTGGAATTATCTATCAGTAACTTACCAGTTTTTTATCTGCACCTAATTGTAAATTCATGACAGGGTTGGCACAGTGCCTTGTATATAGTGAGTCTCCGTATAAATGTGACTAATAAAATGGTTACAAGAAGCTTAGAGATGGGTTAATACAGGTTCAAAATGAAAGAACAAAGCCCATGTATTGCCTGAGTTGAAATGAGCAAACAAAATAAGTATCTGCCTTGATTTCATACTGTGAAGAACGGGGAGATGATTAGGGAACCTGTGCTCACCAAGGAATGTGGCTCTGAGAGTGAGGACAAGGAGAGACAGGTAAACAGACACCTGCAAGTCTATTAACACTTAGGGAAAGACTGCAGCAGAATGTTCTAAGATTTTAAAAGTCATGGTCTGGAATTCAGACATACCCCTCCTTCTTTTCAGACAGGCCAATGCTGTATAGTTTTTCTTCTGTGTCACACTGGATGGAAATTACTGTGATGATGTGAGGAGGTGACAGACCAAAGGAGTCTGTTGAATCACTAATCTTGATCTTTGCTGAAGCTGATGCCCAAAGCCACTTGACTCTGCAAAGCTGGGCTGATAGGACGATTTTTTATGCTGGATATAAGGGTATAAATGGGAACAAACAATGATAATGACGTCCCACTGAAACCTCATCTCACAAGAATGAACTCTGGGGAAAACTGACAATTTGAATTTCCTTTTCCTCATTACATTTTCAAGGTACTATCAATGCTCTTTTGTATTTTATTTAGTTAGTTAGTTGGTTTTTGCTTTTATTGGTATATTATTTATTTTGACATAATCATTCATGCATAGAGTTTAATTTACTCCATTTCAGTTTCTGATACCCCCTTGCCTTCTCGTTTCTTTCCTTCCCTTCGCTTTCTTCCCCTTCCCTCTACCCTCCCCCTGGTATGCTCTTTCTACTCTACTAATCTTCCTTTTGAGTATTTAATTTATTTATTTATATTAGCACTTTATGCATATACATAAGAGTTGAACTCACTGTGGTGTATTTATACATGCACATAACATAATTTTGTCAAATTCATTCCGCATTTCCTCCCCTTTCTCATCTCTCCTTCTTTCCTCTCAATCTCCTTCTTCTACTC